CTGGTTTTCTTCAGCAATGAAGGCAGTGCTCTTGCTTCAGAGTTCTGCCCTGTGGTGCAAACACACTCCCTGGTTGGTCTTCAGTGGGAGGGTTGGGGTGAGCAATTGAGCAGACAGATAGTAATCTTTTGTTATCTCACTACATCAGCCACTGCCAAGAGATTTCCAAAACTCTTAATATCCAAAACTTTAAAACTCTCTCTCTCTCTCTCTCTCTCTCTCTCTCTCTCTCTCTCTCTCGTGTGTGTGTGTGTGTGTGTGTGTGTGTGTGTGTGTGTGTGTGTGTGATGTCAGTAAACACTGTCAACATCCTGGCTGATGAAATGGAGAAAATGACTGGTCAAATTAAGATATATTCAGATATCTGCAACTTTTATTTATTATGTATGGGTTCAAGTTAACATCTCAAAAAAAAAAAAAACATATTCCAAAAAGCTTTTGAAATTTCTGGTGTTTCAAGCAGCTATTTTATGAAGCAACTATGCTCGTTTTTTGAACATTCCCCAATAACTTTCTCTCCATATATCCATACAAGATGCACCTTTACGGTTAAATGCCGGCCTAGTAAATAAATCACTCTTAGACTAAGCTTAACTTAGACTTCCAGTTTTCCATTCATCTGGAGCTTGTGCCTCTATGTGAATACAAATAGTTTTATTCTCCTTACTCTCCAGATTTAAAGGATTCTTATAAGAATACAGTCATGCTGAAAGCTGTAGTCTTACTCTTCATAATTATGTTGACTTCACTAGTTTGTCCCTACATCCAAATATAAATGACAGTCATTATGCACACTTGAAAATACTGATTAGTCATAATTACTTCTATGATGGACGGATGAACTACAAATTAAACTCTCGAACTTGCAAGTAAAGGGGATTAAATTACCCTTTAAAATTTCAACCAGAAAATCAATTACATTGTATTAATGCAGAGATTCTCAGTCACCCATGTAAACACCAGCTCTGAGGAGAGGATGAGACTTAACTCCCATATCTTTAGGAGTATGTGACCTAAGAGTTCCCAAGCAAACTGTTCCTCCACACATGATTTGTGTTACACACACTCTACAAGTGGAAAAGCCAGGCATCATGGTGAGCGTATGTGTGGAGGGCTGGTGGGATTTTATGGAAGGAAAGGGAATCTGCAAGGAGTTTGCTTGATTTTCTTTCTATAGCTTCTGCTTTATTAGAGATGTGGGGCCAGCAGCAGCTCTAATCACTGCCATGAATTAAGATTTTAAAAAAAGAAGAAAAGAAAAACTAATGTCAGATGAAATTGAAAGCTAGGGAAAAAATATGAGGAACAGAGAAGCATCTTGCATATAAAGATATTGTCATGGGAAAGTCATAAAATCTTGTCAGCAACAACAACAATTTATTCACAAGTTGAATGCAGCTGCATAGACAATGTGTCCCCACTCTGTTTCAACATGCCCACTCCAGGTTGGGCTGCTGCTAGCTCTCACACAGCTCTGCAATAGCCTGTCCCCAATGGTTTCCTTCCATCCATGTCTTTCTTGAGGCAGTAAATGAGACTAGGGAAGTAAATAAACTAGATCACGCCGTCCCTTAGCATCAGATCCACTGTCCTTGCAAGGGATGATCCAGTGTGGAGCAAACCCGACTAACCCCTGCATTCCCTCACACTCATTCTTTCCAGTCACATTGGTTTATTTTATTCTTGCTCCTAAGATCTACCACTTGTTCCTAAGATCACCACTCAGAATTCCACTGCCTGAGATGTTCAGAGGGCCTATCTGTACTCTACTTCCCCTGGTCTCAACTCAAGTGTTAACATCTCCCCACTATCGTGGTTCAAATGGAAACTCTCAACATTTTCATTGGTTCATTCACTCAATCTTCTCCTGGTTCTACCTCTACTTTATCTTCTTTCACTATTAGAATATGAACATACATACATACATACATACATACATACACACATACATATATACATACATACATATGTGTGTCTATATGTGGTGTGCATATGCAGATAAATAGATAGATGATAAATAGATGAAGATAGACATAGATAGATAGATAGATAGATAGATAGATAGATAGATAGATAGATAGAGGATAAATGATAGACAGACAGATAAATAGATATCATATCGTTCATCCATTTATCACTATTGGCTACTCTTACCTCTTCCATTGAAATATACTCATAGGAAGGCAGAGAACCTTTTGCTCATAGTAAGTGCTTCATTAAGTTCTCTCTAATTACTGCTGATGTTTTACTAGTCTGTCACCCACTGAGCTCCAATTCAGTGTAACCTTTTTAATTATAATCTGTCTTTCATGGAGTCTGCCTGCAAGGCAAAAAGTCTTTATTGGTAAACTTAAAAAAAAATAAATGCCATGACTTGTTTGATAGGAATGTTGTAAATTGGAAGATTAATATTTTGTGTCATGAGCATTGTTTTCTGAACTTGAAAGTTGTCTTCTCCTGAGAGTGGTCTACTCAGTGGTAAGGGTAACAGTAAAAGCAACCCTTTAGTTGGTATTTTGACAGTCAGGTATCATTACGTTACATCATTACATTGTACCCCTAGCTACCTGTAAGAATGAAGATTTTTTATTCCTTGCAGATTGAACAAATAGGACATAGTTGGCAGAGATCTCTCTCTTCCTCACTGCCTTTGACTTAAACATAACCAAAAATTTCATTGTTAAAATTTCCCAGTGGTGCAGCCACTCTCAGTCTGAACACATATGGAGATGTCAAAGGGCCGACTAATTGCCTTCATAAAGATGAAATCTCTTCGATCCTTATTCAAATTATTGCTTATGATTGATGGCAAAAGACCTGAGTCTGTTCAAAGCAGTTTTCTGATGTCATACGATACTTCATTACCACCACCTGAAATCAAATTAAGGCCAGGGTTCCCATCAGGTACAATATATAGTGATGCCATCTCTCAGAAGTTGAAATTTCTCCCAAGGAGGAAAGGTCATCTACAGGCAAACTGCAGCATATTTCACTGAAAAATTTGACGACAATTTCAGCCTTCTCAATTTCCAAGAATAGTAAGGCTATTTCCAAGCCACTGACAGATTTTAAATTGCAGTACCTTTTTGTTGTGACCATCTCTCATTTTTTTTTAAGAATTCAAGAGATATCTATGTCCATTTCCTGACTGAGCTTCTAGTATGGCATTAAGAGGAAAGTTATATGTTTCTCCTCAAGTGTACTTCATTGTTTCTATGCTCTTCAATAAGCCAGCTGAGTGGCCACAAGTTTGTGAATAGAATATCTATTAGGATGCTTCAGTTGTGGAAGCCATTCATTAACTTCATTTTCAGGGAAAGAATAAATAATGAAAATAATGAGGACATAAATTTATTAGAAGACCTAAATATGTCTTTGTCAGATATGTCACAAGCAAGCTCATCTCTTCTGGTGAAAGGGTGCTAATAAGATTGTTAGGCAACAGAAGGTGGAAAGGGGAAGCTGATGAATTCTGTTCTAAATATAGCCATTAAGGATGTCTGCAATATAATTTATGATAATTCATCACTTATCCTGCTTCATCGTGTCTCTGAGTCTTTATTTACATTAAAATTAAGAGCTGGGATCAAATAAAAGATAATCCTTGAATGTCATGGTCTGTAACTTCTGCAAAGTAATTAGCAAAGATACAAAGGAAAATTAAACACATGAAGAGGAAACCCAGCTTGGTGTCCTGCAAAGGTTGAGTCAACGGACTCTGGGAAGACACTATAATGTAAGTTATCAGAAGAGAGCTGGAAAAAAAATGGGCAAGGTAGAAGAGAAGCTGTTGAAGCTGGTCTCTGAGCGCTGTCTTCTATTTTCTTTCCTACCATCGGCCTGCTTTTGATGCGACATCTACGGGTTGAGGAATGTCACTGGCTAGCATTACAAGGGCTCTTCATTTCTCAGGACAGAGATAATGTTTACAAGATCATACTAAAACCCCAATGTCATACACAAACTATAACAAATCATGCAACCCCTAAATAATAAAATGCCAAGTATGCAGAGTGAGGAAATACTCACAGAGAAATCTGAGTCTATTAAATAAGCTGACTTCTGGATATAAGTGATTCTCTGAAACCCAGCCACCCTCCTCTACAGTAGAGATAATACCTATTGCATGGACTGGTTCTTAAGAAGGAATGGGATACTTGGCACAGGCTGAAACCTGGGTTTTCAATAAATAATGCTTGTTTTTGCTGTTAGCTATTTATCACCATTTTCCAAGTTGGGATTGCTGTACTGTGGCTCATTGCTAGACTTCCAGACTACTTTCAGGTGGTTTTTTGTTTGTTTGTTTGTTTTTGTTTTGTTTTTTTTAAAAAAGCAACTTACCCACAAAGAGTTGACTATTGAGCTGTAAAAGCACATGGCCATCAGTGGGAGCAGCTTGTATCTTCGGCGAGAGCTCATCTACCTGAAGTGACGCCTCCTTCGTGTTCCTTTCAACTCTCACGCGATGCCACTGGTTGTCATTGAAGTGGGTGGGTGAGTGCACTGAGAGTTCAAAAGGCCCATTCCCCACGTCAAATGAAAAGGTTACTGTTGAGGGTGCTGGAAATATCAGATATGAGGGGTTTCCAGGTGAGTACTCAGTACACTTAAAACCATACAGCAATCATTAGATACAATCCATTATATAGAAAGAGACAGGGCATGGAAATAGATACAACTCTCCTGATGCAGAATGAGTTACTGAAGGGCATTTCGGGGTACAACAATAGACTTTTAAAAGTTCATCCTCTGAAATAATTTTTCATATTGGTAAAGATTAAAACTATTTAGAGTGAGCACAAAGCTAGCATCTGTAATTGACTAGACAAAATATTTGCTTCATTGACTAAAGGTTTATATAATTCAACAGCATGAAACATGCATTTGATATTAGACTATTAATAGCATCCTGTGAATATATCAAAATAATAAATGACTCATTAAGCAATTTTGTAATTAATACTGGTCATTAGCTGAAAATTTGCCTTAAATTTTAATTACTTCAACTTAAACTTGTCTTTTGTTAATGTATTTATTAATATTTTTACTGAATTATCACTTGTTAAATATCAAATTATTTTCTTGCAAAGTGAACATTTATCCCAAGAGGTGTGAACTCCTAAAAGTTAAGTGAAGAATTCAGGACTAGATGAGAGTGTCCCGGGACCTCTCTGGAAAGGACACTTACAGCGCAATTCTATCCGGATGAAGTCTGTGATTCCTAGGTTCTCTAAAAACACCCCGGATAGGGCTGTGGTCTTGAAGAAGAAGGACACATCAGCACTGAGCTCTCCATGGAATGTGGGAAAGTGGAGGTAGGAAGCCTCAGTATTGAAGGAAGCTGCATTCCAAAATGGCCCTGTTCAAGACAAATACGAGAGAGAACAAATTCAAAGAGAAAACCTACTCATGACATACAAGGAATTTTTTAACTACAGTTGTGGTTTCTCCATTTAGTTTCGTGCCTGTTTTAAAATGTCACTCACCCGTACAATATAAAATCACTTTCCTTGTTAGCTATGCGCAGAGGCGTGGGCAGAGGTCGAGAGATCTACAGAGACCGAATCCCTGAATTCTTTCCAACATACAGCAGGAAAGGTTCCTACAGAAATGCCCCCAATACAAGAAAACACACTTGCAGCCAAAAATCCTATCCTCAGCTAAAATAAAATCTGAAGAATTTGCTAAACCTTAATTAATTGCCTGGTATTTTTGTATCTTGAGAATTTAAACACCTAATTGTTTTGACTCAAAAAAAAAAATATCCCCACATCTGCTCTTTGCAATCCACATTTGCCGTAGAGTTACATTCTCAACTGTTCCTATTAATGGCCTGGCCAATTTTACATGGAGATTGGCATTCTAATACATTCTCAGTTAATTAAAGACCCAAACACACTTTGTGTATGTGGCACAGCTGTTCCTATGGAAAATGCATTTTTCGTTCAATAGTCATTCGTTACTTTCATAACAGGGAAGTAAGGTGAAACACTTTCTCAAAACGTTTACAAATTCTCAATACTTAGACTAGACGGAAAACGGGAAAGAATTTGGAATATCAGTTTAGAGATCTGGGGGAAAAAATAACAAACATGTCGGGGCTAGAGATATGGGTCAGCTGTTGAGACTGTGCATTCATCTTCCAAAGGACCCAGATTTGGTTCCCATCACCCAAATCAGGCAGCACTCAACACCCTGTAATACCACCTTGAGGACATCCCACTCTCACAGGCACCTCAAGCCCGGGACACAACCCATCCCCCCACCTCAACACACACACAGACACATAATGAAAAGTAAAAGTATTCTCTTAAATCCACGTTAATTATAATTGCTGTCTGACTACAGCACTTCCATCTTCGCTAGCACTGGAGGATATTTGCAACTTTTCTTTCGGAAAAAAAATATTTGAGCGTATGTCGGGAGAAATATGGAAAATGAAATACAGATTCAAAGGCAAGGCTGTCAGGATAAAATCCAGCTGGATATATTGAGTTGATATGGAGAATTATCAGAGAAATGAGCTATGAGCCTCAGCTGCCATCCGCAAGTTCTTACCACATCAACCAGGACTGGGCATCCTAAGTGGGAAGCCGCTCCACCCACCCTTTCAAGAAGGAATAAAATTCCCCTATCTAAATTACCTTCCTATAAAAAAGACCTATCGGTCTTCCAGAATCAGTTCATTATGTTAGCAGAGAGTAGAGGCCCAGCTATTTAAAAAATCACAAACTTGACTCTTGTTTCCACATGTCCCTTAAATTTTGCCTTCTTTTCTGCTAACTCTGCAAAGAATAGTGTATAGCTCTATCGTTTGTTTGTTAGCTTTTCTGTATTTTTTTTATGGACCCAACTTAAAAGTACAACTTTAGTGGCATGTGGACAATTTAAAACTGAATTTATTCAGTTGGAAAAAACATAGCCTGTTAGGTCTCACCTCCCCACACACAGCCAAGTGAACATATACATTATCTGAGTTCTGCTGAGCTTATGTCTTACATCCTTTAAATAGTTCTTCTATATGAGACTCTTGGATCAGAGCCTAAGAAAGGATGCACAGGGCGCCGAGAGGACTCTCATTCTGAGCAGCAGCACAGCAGGATTGGCACACTGACCAGCAATCAGAACTCGCGGCCATAAAACACAAGTGAGTGTGTTTCCCAGGTGAGAGGATACCCCATGGTGGGGGATTCAATCAGCTTTAACACACCCGACTAAACCTCAGAAAAGATCCCAGACAGGGACACACAGCTTCCGGTCCAGAGTGAGGCACCCAGCCTTCAGACTAGAGTGGAGCCCTCAGTTACCAGCCTCCAGAACAGAGCGGCGCCCCTAGGCGCCAATTCAACCTAGGTGCACATTCTCCAGGCCCAGAGTGGAGCACTCAGCCTCTAGCCCAGAGACTTGCTGGGTGCTCCTCTCACTTTCCTGGACAGAACTGTGTACCCCAGGATAACATACTGAGTTTCCCTGTTGGGAGAAAATCCCACAGCTAGGGAATCAGCAGGTTCTTCAAGAGGACTGTACCTGGAAAACTGTAACAACAGCAGCAGCTCACTAAATTTATAACGAGAAACCCCAGCAGTGGGGCAGCTGTCTTGAGAACTTCTATGGGTAAGAGGAGAGCCTCCCCTGCCTAACAAAGACCACAGCTACTACTCAGGTCTATACACCTGAGGTGAGCAGTGGCAATTCCTGAGAAACACTGGCCATACAGTGACCATACCCAAAAAGCAGAGGAGGACTCCTTCAGGAAAAATCATCTTCTGGCCAAGGGGATTCTTTCTACCTCAGGACTCCAGGAAGCACAGAAACTAACAGCCAACACCTAAATCAGCCCAATGGGTAGAGGTCAGCATAAAAGCTCAACCAACAAAAGACAGAGCAATATGGCATCTCCAGAACATAGCCATCCAGAGGCGAACAGCCCTTTACAATGCAGCATAATAGAAAATCAAGAAGATGACCTTACATCTATGCTAATGAAGAGGATAATAGAGGAAACAAACAAAATACATAAAGAATTAGAGGAAGATAAAACCAAACAGATCATGGCTATCCATAAAGAAATGGAGAAAGTTAAAGACAAGCAGATTATGCCCATCCGTGAAGAAATACGGGAAGATGCAGCCAAACAGTTTGCGGCCTTCAGAGAAGAAATAATTAAATCACTGAAAGAAATAAAAAAAAAAAAAACAGAGTTGAAGGAACTAAAAGAAAAACAGGAGAATGCAATCAGACAGGTAAAGGAAGTAAACAAAACAACTCAAGACCTGAAGATAGAACTGGAAAAAAATAAAGAAAACACAAATGGTGGAAATAATGGAGAGGAAGAATTTAGGGAAGAAAACAGGAACTACAGAGGTAAGCATAACCAACAGACTACACGAGATGGAAGAAAGAATCTCAGGTATAGAAGATACAATGGAAGAAATCGATGTATCTGTCAAAGAAAATGTTAAATCCAAAAAATTCCTGACACAGACCATCCAAGAAATCCAAGACAATATGAAAAGACAAAACCTAAGAATAATAGGTATAGAGGAAAAAGAAGACTCCCTGCTCCAAGGCCCAGAAAATATTTTCAACAAAATCATTGAAGAAAATTTCCCCAAGTTAAAGGAGAGACCAATAAGAATACATGAGGCCTACAGAACACCCAACAAATTTGACCAGAAAAGAAAATCCTCCCACCACATAATAATCAAAACAGTAAGTATACAGAACAAAGAAAAAATGCTAAAAGCTGCAAGGGAAAAAGGCCAAGTAACATATAATGGCAAACCCATTAGAATCACACCTGACTTTTCAACAGAGACTATGAAAGCTAGAAGAGCCTGGACAGATATCATTCAGACCCTAAGAGAACACAGATGTCAGCCCAGGCTACTATACCCTGCAAAACTCTCAGTCCTCATAGACAGAGAAAACAAGATATTCAATGACAAAAACTAATTTCAACAATACCTACACACAAATCCAGCATTACAGAAGATACTGGAAGGGAAAATACAACCCAAGAAAATTAGCTTCTGTCAAGAAAACACAGGAAATAATTAACCTTACTACAGTAAAACAAAAAACAACCAAGCACACAATCTTATGACCACAGCCAACATCAAAATCAAAGGATCTAACAGCCACTGGTCATTAATCTCTCTCAATATCAATGGACTCAACTCTCCAGTAAAAAGACACAGATTAACAGAGTGGATACGTAAACAAAACCCAGCAATCTGTTGCATACAAGAAACACACCTAAGGCACAAAGATAGACATTACCTGAGGGTAAAAGGTTGGAAGACGATTTTCTAAGCAAATGGACCCAAGAAACAAGCAGGAGTAGCCATTCTAATATCTGATAAAATAGACTTTCAACCAAAATTAATAAAAAGAGATGGGGAAGGACACTTCATACTCATCAAGAGAAAATTCCACCAGGAAGACATCACAATCCTGAACATCTATGCCCCAAATACAAGGGCACCCACATTTGTAAAAGAAACATTGCTAAAATTTAAACCACATATAGACCCCCACACATTAATAGTGGGAGACTTCAACACCCCACTCTCAACAAAAGACAGGTCAACAAAACAGAAATTAAACAAAGAAACAATATCTCTGACAGAGGTCATGAATCAAATGGACCTCACAGATATTTACAGAACTTTACACCCAAACACAAAAGAATTTACCTTCTTCTCAGCACCTCATGGAACCTTCTCCAAAATAGACCATATAGTTGGTCACAAAGCAAGCCTCAACAGATACAAGAAGATTGAAATAAACCCTTGTATCTTGTCTGATCACCAAGGAATAAAGCTGGACCTCAACAACAACAGAAATAGCAAAAAGCCTACACACACATGGAAACTAAACAACTTGTTACTAAATGACAGCTGGGTCAGGGAAGAAATAAAGAAATTAAAGTCTTCCTAGAACTCAATGAAAATGAAGACACAACATACCCAAACTTGTGGGACACAATGAAAGCAGTGCTAAGAGGAAAGTTCATAGCACTAAGTGCCTTCAAGAAGAAATCCAAGACAGCTCATTCAAGCAACTTAATGGCCCACTTAAAAACCCTAGAAAAAGAAGAAGCAGACACACCAAAAAAGAGTAGACGGCTGGAAATAATCAAACTCAGGGCTGAAATCAATCAATTAGAAACAAATAAAACAATTCAAAGAATCAATGAAACCAAGAGCTGGTTCTTTGAGAAAATGAACAAGATCAACAAACCCTTAGCCAAGCTAACTAAAAGGCAGAGAGACACCACCCAAATCAACAAGATCAGAAATGAAAAGGGGGACATAACTACAGACACTGAGGAAATCCAAACAATCATTAGGACTT